GCGCGCGGCCGGCCCCCCCCCCCCCGCCCCCGCCGCCCGGCGCATGCGCACGGCCCTCCCTCCCCTGGCTGGCGGCGCCGACGCTACGCGGAGCGGCAGGCCCGGTTGCATCATCCGGCCGTGAGGGCGACGGCCGGGGGTCCTTCTCGGGGCTGCCCCGCGGCGCGCCTGAGCCGCTCCCGCTCCGCGGCGGGGCTGACGGCGGTCCCGCAACCGTTCGCCGCGGCGGGTCCCCGCAGACGGGCGTCCGCACCGCGGTCGGTGGGTGCTGGGTACCGCGGTGGCGGCGGTGGACGGGTTGAGCCGGGGGTCAGGCGGGCGCCCGGGCGTCCTCGCTTCCTCTTCGGGCCAAGATGGCGGGGGATGAGGCGGGAGTGACTCTGGGGCAGCCGCACCTCAGCCGGCAGGACCTCGCTACCTTGGTGAGACTCGCCCGAGGGGGCGACCAGGGGGACGGGGGCGAGTGGCCGCGGGCGGGGGCGCCGAGGAAGGGCGGTTGAGGGCAGCGGGGCGGCGGGGCGGGCCGTTGTGGGCGTGGGGGGAGAGGCGGCCGGAGGCTGAGGGGGATCCGGGCCTCCCTCCGGGCCCCGCCGCGGCGCTTGGGGCCGGTGAGGTGTGAGGGGGGGGCGAATTGCAGCACGTCGGGGCTGAGGGAAGGAGGGAGGGAGGCGCGGGGCCTGAGCGGCGGCGCCGGGAGCTGGTCAGGCCGGTCGCAGCGGGTTTGGGTTGCCTGGATGAGGCGCTTGGCTTTGCCGGTGGGGCGAGTCCCGGGCTCGGCGGGCTGGCGAGGGAAGCCGTTGTGTGACGGTGGCGGAGACGTGCAGTTTCCTCCTTGTAAGGGCTGGCCTGCTTAGTGAAGTTAAAGGCTCTTCTTTCTCCGAAGCAGAACCGTAAACTGGCATTCCCTTTCCCCAGCAGGCTAGACGAAGTGGTTGCCAGCCCTGTCTTGGTTGCTCTACTAAGAAAGTTTTCTTAACTCCCAAGAAAACCAGTTGCAGTGGTCTCTTGCTGTGGCAGTCTCGACGATTAAATGTCTCGCCTGGGCTGTCCCACTTACCACACATATATGCAGACAAAACCAGACTCATGCATGCGGACAAAACCAGTCAAAAATCCTATTGCTGCCTCCCTGGTGTTCAGCAAACTAGCAGAGCTTATTTGTCTTTACAGCAATAAGATCTGATACTCTTGGGGTTTGAGCATGAGAATTCTTTTTGTGTTATAGCTAAGCATGTTGATACTCATCAGTGAAGCACGTTAGTAATTTCAAAAAGTTTCTTTACTTCCTTTTGTTGTTGACCATGGCATTTGTCAGTCAGAAAGAGCAGAGATAGACCTAGTTGGGAGGTCAGTGAGAATTATTACCTTTAAGGCCAATTTTGTACCATTTCAGTTGGCCCTCGAATGCTTACAATTGACTGGAGCTTTTAGCTAACTTAGCCTTATACCAGTCTTGAGGACGAAATTGCATGCATGCATAATTGTGTGCACCAGGAACAATTCTCTTGATGACAGGATTTGCATCACGCTTATGTGCTAGTCACCCTACTAGATGGTGCCATCTGCAGGTCATGTTCCCATCGTTGACTTCGGTGCGCATAGTCATTTTAAGTTAGATATACAAGAACTATAAATGTAATTGCCTGTGTTAGGTGGACAAAACTTGTTGTATATTGAACACGAATGTTTTATTTATGTAATACTTGGGAATAGAATGAGTGAGCTTACGTTTTTGCATAGATGTGTTTTAAGTTTATTTGCTTGTTATGCACAGAACCTGCATGTAACAGTTTAAACCAGATATGGTTTAATGTAACCAGATATGGTTTAGTGTGTGTGCGTTATTTGCATCTTGGCAAAATCTTTATATCCTGTCCTGCACTGAGGACTCTTGGCATTGTGAATCTTTGCTTGAACTGAGCAGCTCATCCATATGAATTCAGTGCAAGATGGAAATGAACTGTAAACAGTTTCAAAAATAGTACAGCGGAACATTACAGTAGATTCCAATATTTGGACAAACAGCTTTAAAAAAACCAAAACATCTCTTTCATAGTTGGCTTTTGAACTATATGAAATATATCTGTAAGTGTTTTGATTTGCTGGGTGCTACCAGTATGTTCATGCAACAGGCTATTTAAGACAGCACAATTTTTGTCTGGTACCTAAAGTAGCAATAACAATATTTGAGGAAAAAGTGGCCATTTAAAAAAAAAAAATTAAATCCATGGCACTAATGAAATCTCTGGACCTCCTGACTCCAAAGTGTTAGTTGTAATTATATATTGACTCTAATGGAACCTTATGCAGATTAAACAACAGTTTACTGACAAACTGTTTTTTCAAACATAAGTGCAGTTCACCATGTAGCCCCTGGAAAATTAATTTAAATTTCCTTGTTATGTGTAATTTAAAGTTTGGGGGTAGGTAAGGGGAATTTTGTGTGTTAGAGCTTCTTTTGAGTTTGTTTTGTTTTGTTTACTTCCATCCTTTAACGCCTTGCAGCCTATACCATTTTACAACCAGTGTTTTGATTTGCAACCTATGCTGATTTACAGTCAGGATTTTGTTCACTTTTTGTCCTATTTCAGATACTTAAAAGACTGGAATGCATATCTAGAATTGTTTTAATGAGCTTGGTTGGATTTTTCTGAATAGAACTACTGGATAATTTTTAAGAAGATACCTATAGTACTCTCTAAACATTTAGATAAAAGATGAATAAATTCTAAAATCTCCCTCATACAGGATGTTACCAAGTTGACGCCTCTTTCACCAGAAGTCATCAGCAGACAAGCAACGATTAATATAGGTAAAAACAAACGTCTGAAAAAGAGGGGTGCGTTAATGTGACTCTGGTGCTCAAGTAGCATATGGTACCTATGTGAGATCATTTTTAAGAAATTCTTACTGAAACTGTAATATAGATACAGTGTTTTCATAATAAATTTTATCAAGGTGCAGGAAGAGACTTGTCAAACCCTTTTAACTTGAAAAGCACCAATTTTACTTCACTGTAAACACTGTTGAATGAAGTGGGGTATAGTTGCTAAAGCAAAGTTTATTTTACCTTAAAATTAAGCATTGAAATGAGTTTCATGAAAATGCAAAAATCTGTCCACTGGGAGCTCAATTTAGGATCTTGTTTGCTTAAACAAAAATTATTACGAAACCCATACGTGCTTCTGATGGGAGCTCTGGACTTACTGGCTATGGAGAGTTTGGGGTAATTATGTGTTGATCATAATGGAACATTGCACAAAATTAAACAATGGTTTATTGACAAAACATTTGCTTTTAATACATAGGTACAATTGGTCATGTAGCCCATGGAAAGTCGACAGTAGTCAAAGCTATATCTGGAGTTCATACTGTCAGATTTAAAAATGAACTGGAAAGAAATATTACAATCAAGCTGGGTTATGCTAATGCAAAGGTGAGTCCTTACTATAAATCTAGCAAATATGTTGCTAATATATTTCAGAATGGATGTACACTTATAGGTAACTAACCCTTGATGAATTAAACTTTTTTTCTCAATTTTTAAAAATTACATACAGATTTACAAGCTGGATGACCCAAGCTGTTCCCGGCCAGAGTGTTACCGATCCTGTGGAAGTAGCACGCCAGATGAGTTCCCTACGGATATTCCTGGCACCAAAGGGAACTTTAAACTAGTCAGGTAACTGCTGTAAAATGAATGGTATAAATTGTGTTTCCTTCCTTTTACATAACTGAAAATAGTCAGGATTGAGCTGTAAGCTGAATGAATTGTTATGGCAGACCACATGTTCCTAGATGCTGGGCACCCCTGATCTAAGGTATCATCCAGACTGCCTTGTTTTTATTAGTCGTGATGCACAGTCCATGGTAGAGCACAGCTGTGTCTTCTGTCCTTGGGTATTTGCAGGACTCTGAAGTGAAATTTTTCTGGTATTAGTACAAGTACATTTTAAAGCCACTAAAATGAGAACTAATGTGGACCTCTCAAATGCATCTTTAAAATTCCTCTCTGGAGGGTGCCCTTTGTTAAACTTTTTCTTCCTAGAAAAACTCGTTCTTCCTAGAGGCAGAAAACTTTTCAAAGTTCCTAAAATGAATCTATGAAAGCCTGATGCTTAATGTGACATCAGGCCTCTAGCTGGAGGCCAGGTGTTCTTTATTAACTTGTTGTGGTTTAACCCCAGCTGGCAATTAAGCACCACACAGCTGGTTGATCACTCTCCCCCCTTGCCCCGCAGTGGGATGGGGGAGACAATTGCGGAAGGGAGGAGTAAAACTCCTGGGTTGAGATAAAGCAGTTTAATAAAACAGAAAAGGAAGGGAAAATAATAATAATAAAATATACAAGTGATACACAATACAATTGCTCACCACCCACTGACCGATGCCCAGCCAGTCCCTGAGCCACGGTGCCCCCTGGCCAACTCCCCCCACTTTATATACTGGGCATGACATCATACAGTATGGACTACCCCTTTGGCTTATTTAGGTCAGCTGTCCTTG